AAAAAAAAGATTATGAAAGGCATGGAGAGGCAGAAGGAAATGTTAGAATTCTCTTTCAATAATTATGGCTTGTTTAATAATACTTTCAGTATCTCGACTGAGTAGAATCCTCCCCTTCCCTTAATAACTGATGACGGAAGAGGATCCAACTTCCGAATCGTCGTATATTTTAAATTCGCCCAAGCTAATGTCCACTGTCCAACTCAATATCTACATAATCATCATTCAGCAATCCTCCTCCCATTACGGACTGTACATTCTGAACTACTGAAAGAGTCTTCAAACAAATCATAAATACATAAGAAGGCAGGAACCTGGGGTGGATGAAATGGAATAACTGCAATGAGATTATGATGAAATTAAAGGCAGGAATATCTGGGAAGAATTGCCTATATTCCTTTCACAACATACTGATTGGTGACACGAACCGAACAGGAAACAAGGCATCCAACAATTATTCTATTGTTGCGTGTGTATTCGTTGCAGCGGGAACGTGTTTACCGAGCTGTTGCTTATAAACGTTAAGGGAGACACACAGACTACAAGGTGTTTCATAAACATCCTTTCATTGTTTTGCAAAAATAAGGACAGTAGAAATACTGGATTGTCACAACTGTTACACGTGTAACCTTTTGTATTCTTACACTGTGTAACAGGCCTACGCTTGACTCGTGTCACAATTCGATTATGAATTTGTAAGAGTTTATTTCCGAGATTATTCGACTTGCGGTGCGTTTTGATAGCAGCGCAAACTTACCAATAAAATACAAATCGGATTTATCGTCTGGATCAGCTGAAACCGGAGTCTTGTACAGTTGGTAAATTGATGGGTTCGTTTCCTCGGATGAAGATACTTTGTCTAAGCTTGAAGTCTCAGTATCTGCTTCCTCGTCACTCGTCTTCTGACCTGCCTCCTGAGGCGTCCTCACGGTCTGAGGTCCTGTGTTCAGGTCGAATGAAAACCTGTCGTTGTAGTCCTCCTCTGACTTGGGCTGGCGCGGAAACAGATGTTGGATTACATCCAGGTTGTCTGGAAAGAACAACATGGTGTAGAGCGTCAAGAAAAGTCTTTATGTTCCAGCTAATAGTTTCTGACTATATGTTAACACACAAACGAGCAACATTTTGGTCCGTACACCAGAAGGGAAGACCGTTTCGGAGGCAGCGCAGGGGGGTTAGTATTATGGAACTTGAAGACACAAAATGTACGGGCGTGTATTGTATTAGACTGGCTCAGAACATTGTACAGCATGTAAAAACTATAACGAACCATTGGATGTTATGCATTGCAGGGTGTAGAGAAACGCATGCAGGGTTTTAGTGGGAAAGCCAGAAGGAAAGAGGCCACCAGTAAATGTAGGTTGGGAATAATATTTAATTGTTATTGGAGAAACAGAGTGGGGTAGTATGGACTGGATTCATCTGGCTCAGGATAGAGCGGTAATGAAGCTTCGGTTCCTTAAATGTTGGGAAATTCTTGAGCAGCTGAGCGACTAGCAGCTTCTCAAGAAGGACTCGGCTCTGCGAAGTTAGCTGGTTAGGGAGTTCATGGACTCTTGAACATGTGAGTGGTTATCAGCTAATCGAGGATGACTCGGGTACATTAAATTATTTTAAATATACAAAATAGACTAGTACTACCGGTCCCTTACGGCAATTCCAAATATTTTAATTACTTTACTCCTGGAAAGAAGTCAGAGAAGTCCAGTCGGTATAGTAGTTAGGGGTGGACTATCGGGGAATTCCGGCATGAGCAGAGATTTTCCTTTCCTCTGCCGCGTTTTGACCGGCTCTGGGACATCTCAGTTTCACGGCCGCTCCTTCTCTGGGAGCAAAGGGCCAGGGGCGTGTAGCTGACCACTCACCTCCACTTAGTGCTCAGGCTAAGACTGCATAGTGCACATTACGTTCACCCTCCCATACGTCTTCATGAGATGGCATTTTGTTTAGAATAGGGACAACTTTATCTTTTCACTCCAAGAAAGTCAGAAATTAAGGGACAGAAACTCCTCACCCTTCAATGGTTTTGTCCATCGATGTATAACCACCGCGTTTTGTGTCGCAGCGCGGTAACCTTCGAGAAGGCACATTTGGAAGGCACTTTCTCGAATCACGGCACGGCTACCGACTATTCTGTGACTTTTCAGGAACTCTCAGTCTTTCTAGAGTAATCACAAGTCAGCGCCTTGACGTGACTACCGATTTCTTTCAAGTTCTTATTTACTCAACAAGCCCGAGCTTTTTTCCATCTAATTGACGCTACATAAACACTGGAACTGAAAGAGAGGCGTCAAGTAACCCACAATTCAGTCCATTTACAATCCAATTTTGTGTGCCACAGTTTGCTATCGCAGAGGCGAACATTAGAGTCATGGCATCCTCCTAAGCTCTTCTGTAGTATAAGGGCAATTAGGCCCACTAAGGCAGTCCTCTTTATTCCTGAAGTACCTAGGGTGTACAACGAATTTCAGGACTGAATTTTTGTTTTGTTTCGCTTGGAATGAAATGACGAGACGCGACACATTACAATTTGGACTCGTACGTAAGTAACATAAAATGGTTGAAATAGGAATTGTCATTGAGTTTTGCCATTAACCAATCAAAATGGTGTAAACTGATATGCAAAAGGATAAACTTATGTCAAAAAATTTCTTGTCAGTGAGGGCGTTTCCAGTTTATAAATTCTGGAACTGCTGCCTACAGTAACGAAGGAAAATAGTAGTAAATAAATATTCTATTCATCGTACGTTTCTTTACAAGAGAAGTCGCACCAATCCACGCGACTGTAACTTACTGGTCATTACATAACATATAAAACATATAAAATACTGTCCCCAAGACGAAAAATATCCGGAAAGCAAAAATATAAAATCTAGAAAATATTTGTAAAGCATTTTTTCGAGGGATTCACTTGTACCACTTTTTACAACATGCCTTCATTTATTTTTCAACATTGTCACCATGGATCGCAATGCACTTAGTGAGCCTGGGAATGTTTTATTTTTATTTCAGGGTCGTAGAAATCTGCCACCTGTTCTCTTAGACATGGAGAAGAATTCTTGACACTTCTGGACATCGTTGAAGTTCATCGATGGTTAAACGTCTGTCAGCACGAATGCTTTCGTCAATTTTTTGGATGATTTCATGTGACAACGGATGGCCTTCCACTCCTTATTTCATCATGAACATCGCTTCTTCCCGCTTCAAATTCACGACACCATTTTCTTACGTTTTGCCTGTTCATAACACTTTTTGCAGTAAACAGAAACAAGTTGGCAATGAATTGCAGCAACAGTTTCTCCTTTCGCGTGAAGAAATCGAATTACTACACGAACCTCACATCTGGCGGGATTTTGAATCGACACGGCCATTTTAAACACACATTACCAGCGCAACGTTGCAGTGACTCTGGCCGGTGAGCTCAGCGCAGTCATACGGTTCCTATCTCATAGGGCAGCACTGTCATTTCTGAAAAAGAAATTGCTTCCATTTTTAATGAACTTGTATCTTTAGTTTCAGGATATCTCTCGTATTATGGGGTATATTATTATAGAAGGTGCCGGTCACGGTAGCCGAGCGGTCTAAGGCATGCACTGTCTTCGCTCGCTCGGAAGCCGAGATCGTGGGTTCGAATCCAACTCAGGGCATGGATGTTGGTGTGCGTTTTTCTGTGTTTGTCTACAGGTAGAGGCCTTGCGACGAGCTGATCACTCGCCCAAGGAGTCCTACCGTATGTGTAAGATCTAGTAAACCGAAGTGAAACGGAGAGTTTCATGGAGGTAGGCCTAGGCCAAAATGAGGGCTGTAGCGCCAAAGGAAAAAAAAACATTATAGAAGGTATCATTTACTATTCAAATATTCTGCTCGACTTCAGTACAAAGATAAAAAGGAGAGCGGGAGAGAATATTAACGAATATATTAAAAGACTTTTCCACATCGCGGCCTTGATTTTCCATTCGTAGCGGGCGAACAGGCGAGTGTGCTTGTGGAGGGCTGGCTGTGATCTGCAGGGACAGAACATAAACACGCTCCTGATTTACGTGAGCAAATATCTTCTGTAAGTGACTCAGAATGTGTATAATGTAAAATAGGATTAATTCTTACATTATTGCATCCCATTTGTGTCCATCGTTAAAGAAACAACAAAAAAACAAGCTTTTAAAGTAAGTCTGTGTGACGGCCAATCCTAGATATTTAAGAATTAATTCGTTTTTCAGAAAAATCCAGAGACACATGTATATGAACAAAGGATTTTGAATCTACAAAATAATAGGAGAATGCCCATACTCTCCCTAGCAACTGGCTGCATAGCAATTTGTAATCGACCGAAAACTGTCAAAGGTTCAGCGTCCGTTTTCGTGCATTTCTTGATGGTCCTTATAAAATTGTGTTTTTAAGATAATTTTATATACAGAAGAAAATAATTCTAAATAATATTGTTAACGTCTGCTTTCTCTAAATTCGTTGTTAGCGTGGTTCAACAGGAGCCAGGAAAACAATTTTATCAGATTCCATTGTTAATCTGTATATGATAATTCACAAATGACTGTCCATAAGACCATCACAGATTTTCAGCTCTCCCAGGTGCCGCTATGGTTTGAGAATTAGTGGGCGAATAAAAGTATATAAGTTAATTCCTGAAAAGTGATACGGACAGTTCTTTGAAAAAAAAATCGACGAATCCGCAGTAACATAAAGAGGGATTAAAGAGTTGTGGAATATAGTTCTATCTTCTGGACCATGAAATCAGAGAGGAGCGTGGAAGAGAACAAAATATTTACTCTTACAAGTTTCATCCACAAGAGATAAAGACGTTACTGAGTACATAACACTGGCTATAGAAAGTTTCTAAAATATGTTCGCAGGAAACTTATTTACTAAATGTTAAATCGAAGCCAATTTTTAATACAAAGGTTCATTCGTGATAGCCTCTCCAAAAAAATGGAAACTAATTCTAGACTTGGGAAAGACTGACCTGTTAGGCTCCGTGTATCTTCATAGTAACGTGGATCGGACGGGCTAACTGCGAAGGGGGAAGTTTCTTCAGTGGAAGGAGAATGCACCGGAAACCGATAGGTGAACCCTGGATCCGGCCTCAGTCCCGGAATTGCGCCAGGACTGTTGAAAGGACGGTGCTGGCTGTCCTGCAGAAATCTCCTTGCCACTTGCTCTATAACGTAATCCTCTGGAGTCACATCTGCAAATAAATTGAGAAAAATGAACAATGGATTTATCATGGGACCAGGGCAATTTAAAATTCAATCTTAACTAACTCCACGGAACTGAAGTATCCCTGAAAGCAAAGAGTCACTAAGGAAATCAGAAATCAAAATGTTTACCATTCGAAAGTCATCGTTCAACAAGAAGATATTAACAAAAATATAAGAGATATTTATAGATCACCTCTATGGTCTAGTGTTCAGAGTTACTGCGTACAGACCCAGATGTCCCGGGTTCGATTCTCAACGGTACCAGATTTTCTGAGTAGTTGGTCTGGAACGGAGTTCACTTAGCCTCGAGAGGATAACTGAGGAGCTATCTAAAAAATCAGGGGCTCCGGTCTAGAAAACCGAAATTAACGGCCGTGGGTATTCATTGCGCTGACCACACGACACTCCTTATCCATAAAAGCTGGCACTAACTTCGTCGACAAGCGGCGGTCGCTCGGTCGGTATAGTTCGCTTGCGGACTACAGGCCACGAATTTTCTTTTTGTTACACATTATATAACACATGCATAAAGAATATATTCAACCAAGTGCAAACATTTTTAATATGAATAGAACATGTATATTTCAGCCGGTATCGGACATCAACAGAAGGTGTCCGTCTGATGATTGTAGACAACGGTCCAAACATGTAAAGGTTTTATTCATATTAAAAACTGTTGCACTTGTTGGAACTAACTATTCGTGAACAAAAATGCACTTCTACACGTATATATATATATATAGACACTCTACGTTCACAAGTGTCCGCCACTAGTCCCCATCCCGATAAAAATGAATCAGAGCCTCACATCCTACTTCTTTCAGATCCATTTCATTATTAAACTTTCATTCCATCCCTCTAGGTCTTCCAAACGACCTCTCTCAATCACATTAACAGAATAAAATAGTGTACGTTTCTCTCCTCAACACCCGCGGCGCATATTGCTTTGAACAGCCTGACAGAATTTGATAAACATAAAAGGCAGGTACTACTTTGATTAATTTAAACATCATGCTACGAAGTGGCTCCGGTCTCGAAACCCGAAATTAACGGCCATGAGGGTTCGTTGCGCTGACCACGCGATACCCTCTATCCGCTAAAGTTGGCACTAACTTAGACGACAAGCGGGGGTCGTTCGGTCGGTATAGTTCGCTTGCGAGCTAAAGCCACAGAATTTTTATTTTGTTTGCTAGGAAGTGGTATGAGAGAGTTGAAGTAAGCTCCATGGTTCCTAACCTCAGAATTAACTGTAGGTATGTAGTCAGCTTCACGCTCGGACTGTGTTATCCCCGAGGAAAAAGTCCCTGTTACCTGTAAATTTGGAGACTGACGAACCCAAGAGACTGTCTGGATATTGTGGAGAGGAAAATAATCTCTTCTCCCTGCCGGAAGTTAACCCCTGATTCCACAGTTTTCCAGCCCCAAGCTTTGTCTCCATACCGACAGAGCTACCAGATTCCTCAATAATATTTGGTGATATATACAAATTATGAAGAGCCGGGGTAGCTCAGACGGTATAGCAACTGGTGACCGGCTGGACGATCGAGAGGTCGGAGTTCGAGTCCTGGAGGTGGCAAGCATTTTCACTTCTCCACGTCGTCCAAACCAGTTCTGGGGCATACCCAGACTCCTATTAAATAGGTACCGGAGGGGGGCTTTCCCGGGGGTAAAGCGGCCAGGGCGTGAAGCTGACCATTCACATCCAACTATTACCGAGGTCAAGAGAACGTAGGTCTATACATCCACTCCCACATACAGCTTAATTTGTTAAGCACAGGGGCAACTTTACCTTATAGAAGTCATGAATATTCTCGTAATGTAATACTCTTCAGTCCCCCCTCTCGTTACTCTCTCTCTCTCTCTCAACTCCAAATATTCTCTTGAGCATTTTGTTCTTGGAAATTTCATTCCCAAAACTGACTCAAGAGCAAGCACTGTAATATTTTTCCGTAGGCGTGGTTTCATTTTGCAGATCCTGAGGGTTAGACCTTGTAGATTTTAAATCCATTATTTAAATCCATTTGTTATCAATTGTATTGGTAACATGTCATCATAAAAATTTCATTTGAATAATCGGCTACCATCAAACACATCAAAATATTTCTCCCAGTGACATGTATTCCACAGTACTTCGCCTGATCATAAATTAGAAAGGGAAATGGCGGAATGCAACTTGCTCGGCATGGAATCCCTTGTGTTATGTTCCCTTGCTGCCCAGCCATGGGTGTTTAAGTTCGTAACTAGCACGGAATCGTTCAGTCATTCGATAACGAGAAGGTAATATATACAATATATCCTACATTCGCGTGTGGGCAAACAGGTATTATATGTACGCGTTCCATTGAAAGCCTTCCATAGAAACACGAGCCAGAATTGCATTGTCACTTCATAATATGCCACACCACGCGTTATAAATTGTAATCCCGAAACTGTTCAGACCATCTCAATAAAAACATTCACTTTCGATTCTCAGGCTTTTCAATGCTCAATTAATGGGTGTATTTTTTTACCTTAAGAAAAACGTTCAATATGTGTATGTGTAACAAGAATAATTCGGAATGCTAACAAAATGTTAAAAATAAGTTTAAAAATATTAAAATAACTATATGTTGCATGTAGATTCTAAAGGGTTCTGACGATGGTGGATGATACACACAGAATTACTGGGTTTTTGGACTTCTTACATCGTCCGGAATTTTAGGTAATAGAGGACACGACGTTTCGGAAACTGGATCTGTTTCCGTCTTCAGGTGAGAAAGGAGTCTAGTGATTGAGATTAGCTCTCTCTAAGGGGCCCAACTGGGGGCCGCGCCATAGTTCAAGCGGTTAGTCGCTAGCTTCCCACCGCGGTGGCCCGGGTTCGATCCCGGGTCTTGTCAAGTGGGATTTGTGGTGGACAAAGTGGCGCTGGGGCAGGTTTTCTCTGAGTACTTCCGTTTCCCCTGCCAATCTTCATTCCACTAATTGCCCCACAATCACCCTCACCTATCATCTTGGGCTGATATGATAGGCCAGAAGTGGCCGCAGTACAAGAGACTTAGTCCCACCTCACTAGCAATAAAAAAGTGGCCCAACTGAGTAGGTGTCTTCCTTTCTCATCTGAAGACGGAAACAGATCCAGTTTCCGAAACATCGTGTCATCTGTTACCTAAAATTCCGGACGATGGAAAAGTCCAAAGCCCAGTAATTCTAGGTGTTGCATGTTGTTGCCCCCTTTAGTTGAGATTTACAGAAACGGTTCAAGATAACCGATTAACAGTAGAGATACAGGGTGTCAGATAAAATTTATGATGGTAGGATACACATGTCTACATGGGGAGTTGTGGTATTTCCTTTAGAACTCATTTTGTAACTCGTGTCCAAATGAGTAGTAGATCTTAAAAGTGTTTGTATAATTGTGAAGCATTCGTGTAGATATTCTCTCGGCAGTTAAATCGACTTTTGCGATTAATCCGAAAGTAGATTATGTAGTCTAAGGTCATACTTGCTACCATTCAGTTCAGAACCTTTTGTCTTCTCCTCTGCTGTCTCAAAACATAGAAGTTAGAATATAGAAAACATTAAGGGAGGAACACAGACTGAGGTGTTTGAGAACAGGGTGCTGAGGAGAATGTTTGAATCGAAGAGGGATGAAGTGATAGGAGGTTGGAGAAAACTGCATAATGAGGAGTTTCCTAACTTGTACTCTTCTCCAAGTATAATTAGAATGATTAAGTCAAGGAGGATGAGATGGACAAAGCATGTAGCACGAATGGAAAGAGGAATGCATATAGGATACTGGTGGGAAAGCCAGAAGGAAAGAGACCACTAGGAAGACCAAGACGTAAGTGGGTGGACAATATTAAAATGAACCTTAGTGAGATAGGCTGGGATGTTATGGATTGGATTGATCTGGCTCAGGATATAGGTCTGTGGAGGGCTCTTTTGAACACGGTAATGAACTTTGGATTCCATAAAATGCTGGGAAGTTCCTGAATAGCTGCACAATTAGCAGCTTCTCAAGAAGGGCTCAGCCCCATGAGTGAGTGTATTATGTAGTGTTACTGGTTAAGGTCTTGGGTCTGTAGGTTAGAAGGTTGTCATATACCTCGTACTGGACACAAAACAACCCACCGACAGAATTTCAACAACCTTCCAAACATGAACATGCAAGACTACAATTCTTTGATCCTTAAACAAATGGATGTGAGAATGTGGATGGATTCTTCTGAAACACAGTAGTGCCTAGAAGAGAGCTCTTGTGAATATGTTACTGAAATTTCTGGAATTTTCTTGACTACGTAAGCAACCTTCACAAGAAGGCCTCTGCTGCACGAAGGTAATAGCCACAATATATCCTCGATACGGCTCAAATCGAACTTAAATATTTGTCAAAAAACAGATCGGAGTTCGAAATAATTGTACACATGACCTATATGTACAACTGAGATCTATAACATTTAGCTTAAATATATTTCTATACGGTCGACATAAAAGAAAGAACAAGAAAGACTGCGAAGTTTGCAACAATACGTTTCAGATACTGCTTACCGCCGAAGCCCGCATAAGTTCTATCGCTAATTTATTACACATCTGCAAGTTGTAATGACTACACTGAGCAAACAATTTAGTTGACAGGGTGCACTTAAATTACGACAAGGTAAAATTTCATGTTCAGGTAGTGAAACAGATACGCGTAAAAGTCACTTAGTTACTCTCAATCACAGCCACATCACAACTGATACCAGTTAGTCAGTTTTTGCTTCAACCCTTTCCGGGGCTCATGTCCACATTTTATAGTCTTGAGTCGAGAATGCTTTGGCGTGCGCCTAGGGCCGGAATATTTGGAATCAAAACGCATCCATTAATATAGAACGGTTAGCAATTCCTAGGCAGCGAAGCCTGGGAAATCGTTGCCCCGGAAATGAAAGTCTATCTGTGGAGTTTCCGCCGTTACACACGTAACAGCGGGCGGAATTAACCCTTCGACAAGGAATTCCCTATTCAG